AAATCGCGATTCTCAGGTTGTGCACATGTTCGACCAATTGAACACTACTGGTTGTAGTGTTTTCCATCCTCAAGGAAATGAAATTATTATAAATACGGAAGTGGTGAGTCCGTGTTTTTGCGATCCGTTTTTCACGATTTTTGTTCTTCCCCAAATAGTCAGCTCAAATTCTTGATCAACTTTCACAGCATATTTTCTAGTGGGACACGCGTACATTCCGTTTGCTACATCTCGTTCCTGGCCTGGAGCATTGCAAGCTTGTTTTCAACAGCTCAGGGGTAGACCATTCTTTTTTGTAGATTCAAATTGATAAAATATGGTTTTTCTCAGAATATTGTTTACGCTGCTATGTACTCTGACTGCGCCGACGTGTTCCGGAACACCTACTGTGCATCGTTTCGAACATTCGACACTTCGGATTACTCTGTGAGTACCAGCTTACTTACCTTTCTTATCTTGGATGTCTTGGACACGGGTCTTGTTTGAGGTGATTGCTACTGTTGATACCAAGCGGTTGCTTCTTGACATAGCCAGCGACCATTCTGACCGCTACGTTGCTGTTGTGGAGCGGACAGGAGAAGGGGAGGTAGAGTACATGTTGAATAATGAAGAGACTGTAGTCAGGGCTTATGAGGTAAGCCAAACTTTACTAATGGCCCTTTTCTATGTATACTTTCGTTAAAGGTTGGAAAACGCCGTGATGCAGAGGATGACGATGTGGATGAGGTAGAAGATGAAGAGGGTTCTGAAAGTGCACAAGATACAGATTCTATGGGTGAAGCTCTTGATGATGGAGACGAAGATGAAGACGAGAGCGAAGATGATGACGATGACGATGACGAAAACGGTGTATTTGAAGCCATAGGAAGGGTTAGTCATACCCTTTGTCGACCTCAGAAATCAACCGGCTTTGTTTATAGCTTGAAGCCGGGACTGATTCGGAGAGCTCTGACAGCAGTAGTGAAAATGGCTCATGGGAGACTGCCTCAAATCCACAGGAAAACAACGAAAGTAAGTCTGAATATTCCAGTCTTACACAGTGTAGCTGAAAATTTTTTTTGTGTGTTCACTTCGGTTTTACTGTTCTCTGAGGTTGAATACATTGAAGTCTCGTCTGCCCCATCAAGGACTGTCTGTTTTTGTTTTAGAGCTACGATATGACCCCTACTTTTTCAGTTGTAAAGATGAACCTGAGTATAACAATTACACTGTATTCTGGAATTTATCAGCGCCATCTAGACCTTCTTACCCTACCGTTTTTGCCCGTTTTTCATAATAATCTTTGCGAAGGGTCTGGTTCAGTCCTTTCTCTCGCACAACTTCACTTTCGCAGTAGGTCAAGCTCGGCGCAATCAGTTCGCAAAAGTAGGGATATAGGAGATTTAGTGAGAGAACCCTGAAAAAAGGCTGTTGCAAATAAGGATAATTTCGGGGACATAAGGGTTCTTATCTTCTCAAAAAATGTTTGCAAAAATTTTGCAAAAGCTAGTCTTGAAATTAACGGAATGGTTATTCTGAGTAGGGAGGTTTAACTCAGATTCTCTGATAAGTAGTAGGTTTCATGACTTACAAGCCGATAGTAGATGTGTACTGCTGTTGCAAGAGCCTATAAGG